TGAGCTAACTTATTGTCCACCTATATGGAAACAATCCACGGACTACTCTTTGATCTGGGACATCTTCTTAAAAGTGGTTTGTCTTTCCACTTTATAAGCTTTACAGAGGGCGAAGCATTAAGATGAATATGAGTGTGAGTTCAGGCATCCCCTAATCAGTTCCAAGGGCACCATTAATAAAACTATGTTGTGCCACTGTCAATAATTTTTTGCTGTTTAAATTGATAAGATACATTAAGTATTGCAATATGGGTATTAAACTAACGAGGTTTAAGGAAGTTTACTTTCAAAAATATTTTTGTAGCGGGTTGTCACCTACTAATTGCACACCAGCTTCAAAAGTGCGCGAAAAAATATTTCTTAGCACATGCTAGTCATATGGGCAATAAAGAGTTTACCTTAGGTTTTTGCAACAAATTATACCAACAATTTGCTCCAACTATTGCTGAAAGGTAAATACAAGCCCTGAGTACATTTTTAGTGCATAATTTCAAAAATGCTAAATATTGAGTTGTGTCACTTTTGAAGATGGTGTGCGATATGTATTTAAAAAAATTTAAATTTGAAGAAAGATTATAATTCAAGTTTTGAGGAAAAGCCGATATTTATCCTGCTTTCTAAATACCTTCGAAAATATATTAACTAACCCAGATTCATAAAAAAAAATCCTCATAAATAGAGAATTTGTTTGAAAAGCTCACTTCATAAAGCTCTTTTAAACTATTTTATTTTTTATCAATGAGGCCATAATTGTTTGTGGGAGGGAGTAACAACACAAAAATACTTTTAAGACGCACTGAACCACGACTATTAATAAAAAATATGTCTCGCCACCTTTACCCTCCAACTTTGAGCCAACCGACAGACAAATTTTTACCCCCGGTACAGCACTCATTGAAGCAGCGCACTTAACATTACCCAGTTACAGTCATCCCTAAATTGGAGATCTAATAGTTAGAACTGGCTCTAATAGTCCGAGCATCGGAAGGCAATAGTAACGGCCTATAACCGTCGATAGTTTTTCCATAGTATCGGTTTAATATAAAAGTAGACCACCACACCAAAGGTTTAGGGTTTCTCAGGACTTCAGCGCTTTACTCAGCTTATGAGCCATGGAGGTCTGCTCTAATAACTAGGGCTACTTAAAATAACGCTCAGAAATTAATTCATCAATGAATTTTAATTAAATTACAAAAAATTAATTAAAAAAACAAAATCAAAAATTGGATTTTAGTTCAGATACTTCATTGCTTTGTTCGATATCTGCCATACAAACCGTGTTTGAGTTTTCAAAAGAATTGAAAGTGCTACTATTTATTATTGCGAATTGCCCTGTAATTGATTTCATTTTCAACCAGAGTAACTGTTCTGGATTCGTATGAAAACCGAATTCATATGTATAAAATCAATTAATTGCTAGATAAGGGAACAAAAATATGAAATGGCGGTTTCTATCGATAGCTGTTCGACCATCGATAGAACTATCGTCAGATAGAAACCATCGATAGTCGTGTCGATAGTATCGATAGCGCACGCTCTACCCAAATTAACACCTCTAATTTTTAAGGGGTTTTTTCATTTCCTCTAGTTTTTAATCTCGTTTCCTTTTTTTATGGCTTGGTTTAATGGAATTGACCCAATGTGTCACATCCAGTCTAACTTTCCATCAGTTATTTATGCTATTTTACCGCGCTAAAGAGTGTGGGGGCCATTTAGAGAATGGAATTTTCTTGAGATAAGCAATGTCGTTACCGTTGATTATCAAAGAGTACTGTTGCCCAATTAGAGATGCCATAGCCATAACTTTTACAAATATCTCAGAGCTACTTATGTTTACGGCAAAAAACCAAAATTCAATAAAAACGAACTGTTAAGGTTATAGCTATGACGTTGTGGTACGACAACAACAAACCCATATATCGTCGTTTAAAGTGCAAAACCGCGTATCAACAAAATGCAAAACCGCGTATCAGCAAAATGCAAAACCGCGTACAACTTCACATTAGAAATTATTTTCTAGAGCGTAAAAACACTCATATTTCAAAATGGTTCTCTTTTTTATAAAGCAATCGCATTTCTGGCTAGTATATTTCAGGACGAATGGATAAGGATTGAGCCAAGAGCTTGTGTGAGCAAATCCAATTTTTGGCAGCCAGTGTCAGTTACGCGGGTTTGCAGAATGACGATACCCGGTTTTGTACTTTAAACGACGATATGTAGGTATTTTATTAGAACAGTTGATTGCTATGATCATCCTTTGGCTATCGTACGGTACCACTTGTTGGGTCAAGCACCCTTTGTGTTCATCTCCCGCGAGATATGTTTTGAATGAAATCGATTTAAATAAAATTGTCTTTACTTAGGCCTACAGTGGAGTTCTGACAATTTATACTCTAAATCTTCGTTAACAAATTCTTTAAACAAGAAGCAGTGGGGCCTAAAAGTAAAGCTTCTTATAAGCATTCGAGCGTTCTATAGAAGTCCTAAACTGATCGTATCTGCCTAAAACCTATAGACCAGTGACGTTCAGATAAATCATCTACTCTATGCGTGTACATACATATAAAGTCTATTATATAGCATTTTAGAGAGCTTCTCACGTTTGATTTATTGTGATCGCGACTGCTTTAAATGCTTCATCTTTGGGCAGGTAATGTAAAAAATCGCCAATCTCACCTCTTTGCTACAACTATAACTGCAATTCTTTACTTTATTAAAATTAAATTCACTTTGGAAAATGGACTCATTGAGATATAAACGAAAATTCATTAGTTTTTATTTTTACCACTTTTTTAATGCAATTTATTCCCCTTTCAGAAATTCCTGCAAAAGTTTTCAAGCATTTCAAGTTTTTACGAATTAATGCTTGATCAAATTAACTTTCGTTATAAAGTTATGTAACAATTTGAATCAAAGCAAAAGTAGTTCACATTTTTGTGTAGTTAATTAAAAACGAATTATAAAAAAAAATGGCAGTTAATTTGTGAAATTAATTATAAAATTGCCACCAGTAGGCAAACAAAATTTAATCTTACCAACATATTGTCAAATTACAATAATACAAATAATTAAGTAGAAAAATTGCAAGGCAGTCAATATAATAATTGAAGTACCTATGTATATATGTATGTACAAACATATGTATGTAATTGTTACCACATACTTTCTTTTTTTTATAAAAAAAAAATATAAATAGGAATGTTAATGCAGTGCAGTGCAAGTAGCGTCTGCGGTTTCTAGGTACAGTAAACCCGCATTTAAATGTACACTAGATTCTTTTTTTATGATATTCAACTGGTATTTATAAAGTTTAAATAATGGCGAAACAGCCGCACTTGATAGGAATAGGTTGTATTAGGAAATGGATAAGCAATCAGGAAAGTTTGCATGGTATGCTTAGCTCAGCGCTTAGCATTGCTGACTCTGCACGTCGATGATAACTTCTAGCATTAGACTTTGTTACATTTTCCTTTGTTCCTAACGATAAATCGTAGTATAAAGCTTAATAACCTTGTTGGAGTGTCAAATTACACTGTAGAGATTATAGACTACTTTAATTTAAATTAAAAAAATTTTAATTTTAACAAGGAAAAAACTAACAAACCAGTTGATCTTTTATAGTTTTTTTTCATTTGTATTAAAGTCTATTAATTTGCAAAAAAAAACAAGCTATTGACGATGAAAATTTATGTGTAGCATTTTCCATGTTTAAGTTTGAATTTTGTTTTCAGACACCTAATAACACTGGATCATTTTAATTTTGATTTTGTTCTTCAGATGCCAGTATCCAATTTGTATGTAGAACCGCTTGCTGATTCCGAAAATCGAGTTAATTTATTTTTGAGTGGATACGTATTCGAGATATTTGCAATTTACCGTTATTCAGCTTTAAAAAAAAAGTGGTTCCACTTAATCAAGCATATCTTACGCACCAATCAACTAATCGTAATGCGAGGTACAGTAAACGAAAGAAAACAAGTAAGAGCAGCGCTGTCTTCGGCTATGCTGAAGGCTTCATACCTTTCATGAACATCTGCAAATTTTACTTTGACAGATTACTGCTTTTGAATACATTTGCATACATCGATAGAGGAGTTAAATGCTTCTATAAAAAATCGCATCTAAACAATCAGAGGTATGGAAGATATACCTTTTATTAGCACCAATCTAAGTGATTTTCCCTGCTTTGTGATCGGTATGTAAACCGGTAACACAATTTATTGGGTTTAGTTTCCTACATAAAGGAGATATATCGCAAAAACTGGTATCTGAACAATCAGTTGTATGGGAGCTATAGGTTATAGTGACCCGATCTTTGTAATTTTCACTGTAAGTATTCTGTTGATAATGGGTGCAAGTACTGCAATTGAATTTCATGTTCCTAGCTGCATAAATGAAGAATTTTTTACGAAAAATCTCATATCTCGATTAGTGGAAACTTCAGCGACTGACGGAGCCACCTATGAACCTTTTCTAGGCTAAGGTCATATGGGAGGTGGACCACAACATATGTATGTGACCCTCTATTGTACATGCCATTCGTCACCACACGGGTAATACACCGGTGCAGGCAATCACCCACGAGGCTCATTCGATTCTACAGACCTCGCAACTTAACTCTTATTCTGCATTTCCACTAAAAAAAAGTTCTGTTCTGCCGTACTATACCGAGAAATATTGTTGACTTTTTAGCCTCCTGACTTTATTGAAAGTTCTTTCGAATCGCCCGAAAGCTTTCACTGGTCGACCTAAGGCCTCTCTGCTGTAGGTTAAACAAATAATTTTTTACAAAAAACAATTTTTTTTGTTGTAGAACAAATAAAAATATTGTGTAATCATTAATAAACACAGCAACGGCAATAATGGCATTGTAATTATAGTTTCATGTTTATTTACTCTTTCACATTTTTTCACAATGACAAAGAAAAAATCGAAAATATGCAAATATTTTTTCATTTGTAATTAAATATGAAACTGTAAACAAAAGAATTTCATTACAGCGTAGATAAAAAGAGACACAGAAAAAGAGGGAAAAAACGTGCGAGTGAACAAACTGTACGAATTCAAAAGTATGCCATAAAATAAAAAAGTGAGACATAAAAAAAAATTGGAAATAAATACAAAATATATAGGTACAGTTATACAACACACACATACCCGTAGCTGTATGTACTATAGTTGTAAATATACGATATTATTTATTTATTTATTTATTTATTTAAGTGTTTGCCTACTTTGCGGCGTTAAAACGTAGCGCATTGTAAAATAGCAATAGCAGCAAAGCAAACTGCATTGGTGTCAAGTGTACGGTGAAGAAAAATTAAATAAATAAAAACGAAAAAAACAGCAAATGCAAACAAAGTCAAATTCAAATTAACTCAGTGTAACAAAAAACATTGCATAACTGCAGGCGCCTAGGCGGTCAAGTGGAAATCCATACCCTATACAGTGTCAAGTGTGGAGCAAACTAAAGATTAATAAAAACTCTATAACGCGCTTTACTTTTTTTGGCTTTGCACTATTGTTTGCTTTTTTTTTGCGTACATATAAAACTTTAATACCACTTAAGTCTGCTGCTATAAGCCACGCGCGCATACAACTGCAAACAGAAAATTGTTTAATAAAAAAAAAAACTAAGAAAAAAATTAAAACAATCAGCGTAGTAGCTTAAAAATAACTCGATACGTACACTTGTTAAGCTGTCGCCGTCAACACGCGCTTTAGTTGTAGTCTCTTTGTCGTTTGTTTGTTGCCCACAGCCGAATCATCATGGGATTAATAAGCTGCTGTCTCTGGTGGTTGGTACTCATTAATGTATTGCTCCAGCACACGCCACTGCACAGCGTCACATCGTTGGTGGGTGCATCGTTAATTGAGTCGTCGACACGAGCTAATGGTGAGCGGAAAATGAATTATAATATATGTACATGTGTATTTTGTTATTTTATTGTAACTCTTTGCCATGTAAAAAATTTTACTTAAAACACACCATACCTGTAACCCAATACTTGTCATACACACATACATATATACATCCCTTAAAATATGCCAAGCATATTTACATAAATAAGTTTTATTGTTACTATAAAAAATGTTTAAATTAACAATCGTTTTTTGCCCAACCTTTTTGTTGCTATAAATAATGCAGTAATGCCGCTGATATATGTTTTTTGGCGCTACAGCTTAAGCTACTTTATTTCCTTTTTTATAACCATATATATGTATGTATGTATGTATTTGCTTTTTGCCTCAACTTCATTTAAATACATGTTTATTCAAATGCGATTGTCAGACTTTTTCATTCAACGCATTTTAATAAAACTGCAATTTTTTGCGTGGGATTACCTGATTTTCCACGCGTGCTGTAGCAAATTAATTTCGGTTAATGCTGATTGAGCAGCAAAAAAGGGCTGAGTAGGAATTATGTAATTAATTATGCCAAGAGGAATTTATTTAATTTACTCATGACTAACAAAAAGTTCAAAGGAAGCTTTGTTGCGAAATATTTATGTATTAAAAAAGGATTCGTTTAATCTCACCAACGTTTGATTTAAGAAGATTCTTTCGTTGCTTGAAAATTTCTACGATGCTAACAAAGCGTTGTAAATCCTTGAAAGTGCGGAAAATTATACGAGTGCACTTTAAGAAGTCAGCGAATTTTAAATGACAATTTTATAATTTTCTTTCGAATTAAGTATCTGTGCGTTTCGAGGGTTCGACAAATTTTGATAACTCAAAATTGTATCTATATATCAATATAAATCGATAAATTTACAAAGTTCATATAACTTGCTAAATTTCGATAACTCGGTTAATATTGATAGCTCCATATCTCTCGAAATCTGTCGACTAATTTCGATAACTCGTTACACTGTAGTAAAACGATAAAATTCTATAACCAGTGACAACTCCGTAAACTTATGAAATTTAGATAACTCGATATATTTTGAAAGCTCCAAAAACTTGTGTTCGCTAAATCAACAAATTTCAGTAAATAAATAAATATCGATGACTCTTTAAGTTGAAAGAACTCGATGCCTTACAATAGCACGATAAATTTTGCCAACTCAATAAATAGTAATAATTCAATAAATATCGACAACTTTACAAAGTTCGATAATCCCACAAATTTTTATAGCTTGAAACAATCCGTAAATTTTGACAACTAAATTTCTGTCTTCGAATTTATTTAATTTACTCATGACTAACAAAAAGTTCAAAGGAAGCTTTGTTGCGAAATATTTATGTATTAAAAAAGGATTCGTTTAATCTCACCAACGTTTGATTTAAGAAGATTCTTTCGTTGCTTGAAAATTTCTACGATGCTAACAAAGCGTTGTAAATCCTTGAAAGTGCGGAAAATTATACGAGTGCACTTTAAGAAGTCAGCGAATTTTAAATGACAATTTTATAATTTTCTTTCGAATTAAGTATCTGTGCGTTTCGAGGGTTCGACAAATTTTGATAACTCAAAATTGTATCTATATATCAATATAAATCGATAAATTTACAAAGTTCATATAACTTGCTAAATTTCGATAACTCGGTTAATATTGATAGCTCCATATCTCTCGAAATCTGTCGACTAATTTCGATAACTCGTTACACTGTAGTAAAACGATAAAATTCTATAACCAGTGACAACTCCGTAAACTTATGAAATTTAGATAACTCGATATATTTTGAAAGCTCCAAAAACTTGTGTTCGCTAAATCAACAAATTTCAGTAAATAAATAAATATCGATGACTCTTTAAGTTGAAAGAACTCGATGCCTTACAATAGCACGATAAATTTTGCCAACTCAATAAATAGTAATAATTCAATAAATATCGACAACTTTACAAAGTTCGATAATCCCACAAATTTTTATAGCTTGAAACAATCCGTAAATTTTGACAACTAAATTTCTGTCTTCGAATTTCGACTACTCAATAAAAATTGAACAATTTGAATAATTCGGTACGTTTCGATTACACAATAAAAATTGATAACTCGATAAATTTCGATAACTTGATAGCTTTCGCAAACTAAATTTTTATGACAGAATTCATTCCGATTCCTATCGGAAAATTTCAATATAATATCTTACCCTTTCAGTCTTTAACTTTGCCTTCATTTTTTTGTTTAAATCTTTAGCATTTGTTTCTTCATCATAAAATTTATCTTTAAAGCAAAATGCGAAAGTAAATCAAATTGAACAAGTTGCATCAACAACTATACTCAAATACGGAAATTTGTAAACGACTATCTTTGCCATACTCTCCTCATCTACAGAAAAATACCTTTCCAATGGTGTTCTTGGTTTTGAAATCGGTTTGTCAGAACCGCCAAACGACCGACGACAAAATTTATATAGGTTATCGGTCTAAGCAACTATCTGATTTTCAGGGCATCATATACCGTGACATGGCTTCAATGGGTAGAAACGAAAGCACCGAAACTCCGAAAATACCCAAAAATTCAGATATTGTGTATTTCAAAATATCGAAATAGTCTCGAAAATACTGAAATAGTCCCGAAAACGCCAAAATAATCCCGAAACCTCGGAAAGTTCAGAAAAATCCCGAAAAACATATAACACGAAATAACCCGAAAAATACAGAAAAATAGAGAAAAGTCCGGAAAAAATCCTGAAAAGTAAACCGTGGCGAATCCCGAAAATCTCAAAGAAACCCAACCAAATGAGAGTTTCCGAGAGTCATGAAGCATTTCATCACAAAGCCCAAAAAATACCGATTGTTCTTGATTAAGGAGTGCAATCCTCAGAAACATGGAATTATGTATGTAGGTCCTGTAGCGTCAGAACGGATTCATGAGATAAATAAATTAGGTGCCACGCAGAATGGTTTGGAAACGAATGTAAATATTGCTGGTGCTAAAGAGCTTCTTAGTAGAGAAATTCACATATTTGGAAACCAGGATAATTTTTCAAATAAACGAATGCAAGCCAGGTACGAATGCTGAATGAAGACAATGGCATGCAAGGGACTGACCAAACAAATCTAGTGCGTAATTTTTTGGTTTTACCAAGGCATGCATGCACATTAGGGTGGTCCTTAAATGTATTAAGTACATTATTACATCAGATTTCCTAAACGTCAACCCCCCATCGATGCTAATAACTATAATCAAAGATATCACACAAAAATTTTGGTCCCGATCGGAGACGGTTTAGGCGTGTCGCACAGGGGTCAAAGTTCAGATTGCTCTATGGAGACTCAAGAAATTAAAATTAATGTTTTTCATCTAATACCCAAAGTCGATACTACTAACGTCGAATATGTCACATATAAATTTTGGTCCCGATTTGAGTAGGGTAAGGCAAAAAAAAATTAATTTAATTTTTTTCAGTCTCCATAGGGGAATCTGAACTTTGACCTTTGTGTGTCAAAACGCCTTAACCGACTCAAATCGGGACCAAAATTAATACGTGATATCTGCGCCTACAGTAGTATCGATTTTGGGTATTAGATGAAAAAAAAATTTATTTAAATTTTTTGAGTCTCCATAGAGGAATCTGAACTTTGACACCTGTGCGACACGCCTTAACCGTCTCCAATCGGGACTAAAATTTATATGTCACATCTTTGACCGTTGTATTAGCGACTGCGGGGGTGAGACTTAAAATTTCATTTATAAGGGCCACCCTAATGTACATATAATACTGGTATATACATAAATATAGTATCTTTATATTCGTTAAAGTAATGGTATATACGTGGCGCATGAGTAACTAAGCAATTAGGTAGATACATTTCAGCCTCATCCGATGTTCGAGTGAAATTTCGCCCATTTTTAATTTCAGTACAACTTCTATACTTTTTTCAAGAGCAATAACATTTTGTGTATTTGTGTCCAACTTCTATATATTTTCTAAATTTTGACTACAGTGGCGGAATAGTTTAAACCAAAGAAGTTACGTAGGCGTTGTGCGGTTGAAATTTCAGCCATGCTGAAAAATACTTTAACAATTGTAATTATCTCAATAAAGAGAAGTCGTTTTCACAGTTAAGGAATATACAAATTTGACACAAAAAGACAAAATTGCATTGCTTTTGAAAAAAAAACAGCATAGAAATTACATGAGTATGTAGATTTTCATAATAGGTAAAATTTCACCAGAACATCAGATGATGATAGTAAATTTAACTTCCTTTGAATAAATAAAACTTTGCATACAATTTAAATTTTTTGCACTTTATTCTGAACGGGTAAAATTTTACCGAAAACCATCCTATGTGTAATTTTTTTTTATCATCATTAGAAATATTTTCAATTTTCATACTAACAAAATACAGCAGTCTTCATTTGCAGTAAATTCTAAATACCGTGATGATAATTTATTTCAAGTCTTGCTGTATTTGATAACTTTCTACTGTCATGAAAAAAAAGACCTTTCAGTAAAAATTTTGCAAATGTTTGGTACTAAATCTTTAATACCATAATATCGCTTAATCTGCTTTAATTACAGGGTAAGTCTAAAAATTGCGTACAGTTAATAAATGCCGTGAGCTTCATGAGCTCATACGTTTTGTCAAATACCTACATACATACGTGTTTCTTGCCAAAACTGACCAGAAAATCAAACAGTTTAAATGATAAATAATTGCTTGTGTTAAATTTCAATTTAATTTATTTCACTTAAAGTGTTTGTTGATACCTAAAGCTAGCATAAGTTCATTTATGACACTAAAATATGCGTATCTTCATTTAAGAATATAATTTAATTAATTTCATAAAGACCATTTCAAAGACTACTAAAAACTATGTTTTCTGCAGTGATTTATTTGTCTTGGAAAGTAGCAACATATGTATGTATCTAAAGTTGCATTAAGAGTTTTTTAGAGATTTAAATTATGCCTTAAATTAACTCCACTTCTGAAAAATAATCTTA